TCTAGATGAAAGAATTTAAAGTTCTCACCATAAAGAAATGTTAAATGCTTGAGGAGATAAATGTTCATCTTAATTTAAGTATTAAAGTATGTACACGTACGCTGAAATATAATAAAGTTTTTAAAAAATAATTTTACTAAGAAACAAATAGAAATAGGATAGTTTCAAAAACCAATTACTAGCACTCTTTCGCTAATTAATACATTGCATATTGTTGTCTTAGTGGTTATTCATTGTACAAGATGCACAGATGATATCCTCTCAACAAACACAATTCAAACAAATCTCTTTATTCATTGAATTAAGAGAATGCACCTGTATATCTATCGTAACTATATTGAATATACAGATGCAAAATGGTCATTCATTTGCTTCCCCATTTTTTGTTCAGTTTTGTTAGAAAAGGGTATTCCATTATCATTTAAATATTGTAGGTGCATGAATTCAGCAAAATATTCCAATATAGTCTGGCACCCCATAAGAGCAGTGAATTTTCTCTAGGACTGGCAATGTCAGAAGTAGTTAACTTGATCCTTTTACAGATCAGCATATTAATGACTCTACTATTTATACTTCATTTTTATACTTTTCTGCTGGATGGTTAAGACCAATATAAAGCAAGACCTTTATAAAAAGCAATGCAAATTTTGTATCTGATAAGTCAGTCAAACCCCTCAGGATTTAACCTGAAATCCTGTATCGCAGTTTGTAGTCTTTTGGCAGTGTCAGCCATGTGGATGAGTCATGGCCATTGGTTGACCCATTTGCTCTCTGTGAAGGCCTGAGAGAATGTTTTCTCTCCATATGACTCTCCTTAGGCACACTCTACATGGTCGATTACTTGTATCTGTGGCCCCATAATCTCCTTGATCAGAAAATCTGGGACATAACTGAGTTACATGTTGTTACAGTTCAGATTATCCTAAGTTCTAAGTCTTCATTGACCTTAAAAGGCTAGGGCTAAAATGTTGACTGTCCTTGCAGCCTTTTTTGCCTCTAATTTTTGGTCTGCAAATTTCAGTTGTTGACCCTCCAGAAGACAAACTTATTATTACCCTACAATAGAGGCAGTTGCGCTTAACCTCATTATCTGTGTGAACATCAAACATCTTAGGGATAGCATGGTACAGGGTAATTTACATCAAGTATTGGTATGCTGAACTTTAAGTCCCTACAGAATATGAAGAAAATTAAAAAAAATTTAAATAGGAATAAGCAGTTATATATTTTTACACAGAAATTTAGAAATCTAACCATATACAGCATGGT